TCAACAGCTCACTGTGGCTGATAAAATGATATAAGGAATCGGTGACAATTGGTTAACTACAAAAAATTTCCTTAGTTTCATCTTACAGGAGATTCTACGGCGAGATTGGATGTTCAAGTTGGTCGGTAAGGAATCATTTCAACTCGGACCTATGAAATGCATAATCTCTGTAGAAGCACTAGGCACCTTCGCCTATGAATACTCCCTAGAGGTTAGTACTCCTTTGCACTCCATCATTATATCCTCCTTTATGGAACTCTGATCTAGAAATCATAATTTACCGTGATTTCAGGTGAACGGCAAGAATTACGAAAAATTCCGTGAAGAGCAGAGCAAAAAGCTATTGTGCTGGGAAACACACATTGGTGGAGAGGAGACAAGGATCGTACTAGGTTGGCTACATATTTCATTTTCTTTGACGATTCAATACGCTTCGTGCTTCAATCCCTAGGCGAAAGTGAAGTATGATTGAAAATGGTGACCACCCACGTGATCCGAGTATCGAAACCCAGTTTGGGGGTCGAACTCAATTCGATACGCACTCGAGCCAACCATGCCACCCACTCCCTACAGGGCCCTCTGTTTAGAACGCGGCTTACTCGGAAGACTGGAAACACTGACTTATACAACTGGTCACCACTAGTCATTGTATCAGCTACAAACTCAGTAACAGCGATTCTGAGCGGATGTCGAATGCAGGGAGGCATCCCAAAATGAGATCCATCAAGGCCAGAGGGATTTTGGACTGAGGGCGTCACTACCTCAGTCTCTAGCCAGAGAGTACAGAGAGAATCTCCGGACGATATGCATTAAAACTTCAAGCTACTAGAAAATCAGGGAAACAAAGGATAAGCGCTGTATACTCGATTGTTGAGTATCTTTGGCTTTTGAATATATAAATACCATGCCTCTCCATGTCCCCATCCCCTTCTCTGTTCCGCACTCCTTTTCCTGTCCCACATCACTTCGAAAGTTAAATAGATTCGCCGGCTTGTACCCATTAGAGGGGAAATATAACGAGTGTAGTAGCGGTTCGAAGGACGCGAGAATAAATCGGTTAAGTGGGTTGGCTGAGATTCGATACGAAGCTGTTGAAAGCACCGAAATTTTTTTTT